TCATCGTAGGAGGAGTTTATGTTTCCTTTCATTTTGTTTAGTTTTTTTAAGTGACATTTGGGTGTTTTGTTTTTACAAAGAACAGTGGAAGAGCACTCAGTATAATCCCATCATTTTTTACACATAATAAACAGTACAGAAAGGTCAAAAGTAGATGAGAGGTTAGAATCCTGCCTCTCCCCCTCCCAGGGTCATGAATATTGATTGATGGGACGAGGCAAAGTACTCACAGCGCTATGAAGAAATGAATGCGTCGGTATTGCCAGGAGAAGAGGCCAGCCCGGCCAAAGTAGGCTATGACCATAAAGAGGTGATACTGATGGGGAGAGAGTAAATGCAGTAATAGAGGAGTCCCTTGCGGAAGAGGAAGAACATGGGAACAAGGGAGTGGGAGGCAGGGGCAGGGGTTGCTGCTCAGAGAAGAGACACCCATGTTGGGTGACTGTGCTCATTTGGTGTCGGGGGGATGTGTCTGAAGGTTGGTTACAAATCAGAGAGGTCAGAGGAAGAGAGGTCCATGGTGCTCCCAGGATGGCGAGCTCTGCGGGATCTCTGGAGGGAAGGTGTTCTGCACAGCTGGTGTCAGGAGGGCCTTTGGTGAGCTGCAACAAAGGACAGTCCCAGAGAACTTAGAGAAGGGGCCAGGAGCTCAGACTGGCGATGACCAATGAGGCAACGTCCAGGACAAGACTATGCCGAGGGCTCAGATGCCAAAGGACCCCACCTGAGCAGGGCCAGGAGTTCACTCTGCAGGAGACATCCAGGCCACAGAAGGGAGATGCTGACAAGTCCTACAAGGCTCAGGACTGTGGGAGCATCCGGTGGGAGTGACGCAGAGGGAGAGACAAGTGGAACTGTGGGTTAGAAAGCCCCGCCCTCCCCCAGGCTCTGTGTTGGAGCAGAACCACATTACTTTGTCAGATATCCTCAGATTTTTGTCCCAGGCCGGGAAGTTTCTAATGACCCGATCCTCTGTGAAAAGAGAGCATGCGTTAGGTTGAGAAGTGGGACAGAGTTGCCATGGTGGGAGCAACTCTGAGCAAAGAGGAGAACTGTGCCTCCCTTGGAGAAGGTTCTGGATTGTGGCCAAGGATTAGGTGAGTGGAGAGAGGAGAGAGAACATTCGCTGGGCAAGGGACAGAGGCTCGTGCCCTGAGATTCCCCTGAGGAGTGACCGAGGGAGGGGCTGGGTGTCAGTGGCATAGGTGCACGAGGAAGATCCTGGATGCCCCTCATCAGACACGAGTGTACCACTCCAGAAGTCACGGAGTGACTCGGGCCGTTGCCCACTGGATAGTCACGTCAGGGCACAAACACAGCCTTGTGCTGCCCCTCTACAGATGCCAACACTTAAATCCCCCAAAAGCAACAAAAACCAAGAAAGTTCAAAGGGTGCAGCTGAAACCGAGCTTTCTTATCCCAAGTGCAGACCTTCTTCAAGTCTACCCTAATCCTCTACCACCTTCTAAGTGTCCCTGCTGAGTGGCCCATACTGCAGCCTCCAGGGATGGAGGAGAGCTCACTCACTAGCAGGGCATTCTTTTCCACTGGAAAAGTGTAGTTATTAGAAGTTTCTTCCTTTTTCAAAAGGATAGGATTGGAGGTTGCTATCTGGAGTAGTCTCCTCCTACCAAGCAGCCTGGTGAAGACCTCACGGTGTTCTGGAAGCACTGACGACACTCATTGCTTCTTCAGTCTCATCTTGAGCTGATGCAGTGACTCCACGATCCAGATGTCCTTAGGCTCAGGGACCACCAGCTCCTCCTCCAACTCCTCATCCTTCGATTCGGATGACCACTCCCTCTTCCTTTTCTGGCCAGGAGACTGAGGCAGGGGGCTGGTATCTACCCAAGGGGCTGAGTAAAGAAACCAGGCTACAGTGTCAAGCTCTGTCTTTGGAATTCAGCCACTGATCACCTAACCGCCCCCTGTCTCCAAACCAAACCTCTCTTTCACCCTCTCTAGCCCCACAGACTGAGGCCTTCTCCAAGCCATCTCTCCGTCTCTCTACTTTGTTTACATCCATCCACCCCACATCTGCCTGGCCACTATTGCATCTCTCTGTCCTCAAACTCTTCCTCATTGTAGAGAATTACTTCTATTGGGGAAGAAAAGGAAGGCTTCCCTTGAATCCCTCTTCCCTTGTCTTAGACTCACCTCCCAGCCCCATTGCCTTGCTCCCCAGCTTTTCCTTCC